CCAGTGAGTCAAACATAACTTAAGTGCAGGTCATGTTGCAGCAGATGTAGGTAGTGTCGTTCTTTGCTGTGATAAGTGGCCACTTTTATCGCAATTGTTCATCATTTGTTTCACATCAAGGGAACGTTACCAGGGTTACTGACAACTTAATATACTTTGAGCATTAATTTAGCTTCAAAGTGCCCTGCAGAGTTTTCTAGTAAACAATGAAATATCATGCGTGCACACTGTGCTTCCAGTCTAACAGACATGTTGAATGCATTTGAATGCAATGCCAAATTTTGTTTAAAGTTTGAAACCTGTCCTGTTTAAATAACTTTGCATATGAGCAGTCTTCCAGTCTAACAGACATGTTGAATGCATTTGAATGCAATGCCAAATTTTGTTTAAAGTTTGAAACCTGTCCTGTTTAAATAACTTTGCATATGAGCAGTCTTCTTCTTCTATGGCTTTGTGAAGGCATTGTATTTCTTGAGCCATCGCTGTCTCCTGTAGATCTATGGAATACTTTGAAACCATTAGCATGAAACGTTCCATAGCTGCATTAATGGTATAGTCAGTTGGTAATACTGTGCCAAATTCACAGACCAACACAGAGCAGCTAATGGGTATCAGTACTTGTCTGAAAGCACATTTTGACTCCTGCAAAGGTCTTGACTGAACAGCTGGTGAAATTTCCATAAAATAAAAGGTTTCTGGCAATAAAAAGAAAAAAAAAGTTTAAATATTTCAAACCACCATTACTTCATGCTCTGAGGCTTGAAACATAACCCTGATGCCACTGGAGAAGTGCAGCAGTGCTGGTGGGTCCTTAACCTTAGTGATCCAATGTCGCATGTGATTCCAACTCTCTGTGCTGTGAGAGCTGGAAGAAGCTGCAGGGAAAATGTTTCATGGGACCTTTCATATATGCTTCTAGTATGTTTTCTAGAAATGGAGGCCTTCTTTCAAGCTGCTGCTGTTGTTGACAGTGACGATTCATCGGGTTTTGTCCTAATCAGCATTTACACTGAAATCTGTTCTGTAATGAGAAAACGAACCTACTATCAAAGTTAAATGAACAATGTGACAGAGTTTAAACATATAGGATTTCCAATTTGGGGCTCTATTTTTGGGCTTATGATTTCATTAAGTGGAGTAGAAATCAGCAAATTTCAAGCCATAACATCATGTTTTACATCCTCCCCCTCTAACTGTCAAGCTCTTTTTGTTTCCTACAAAACAGCAAAGGTTTTGCTTCAATAAGCTGAAAAATTGGGACCTTTATAGGTACAAGTTCTGAAAGAATGTAACCAATGCCCTTGAAGTGCTCACTGCCACCTTATGTTTTTTCTCAGTCACCTTCTGTAATGTAGTATATTACACTCTCATTGTTCGGTCTGACAGTGTCACAGACTTTAAGATGCACACTTCCACAAGGACTTAGGTCTGTCCTGCTGCAAAGTCAGCAAGTGCTTAAGGGATCTGATATGAACTTTAAGAGCCTTTGATGTGGATTGTTAGTGTCTGCAAACCTGATTTTTCATAGAAATGGGATATCAGTGATTCTGTAAGTTCAGATATGTTTTCAGTATTTTTTGTATTTCTTAGACAATTCACAGACCCTCAGACAAGATGCATTGTCCTCCTACAGGCCGGCCATAAACATGTACTTTGAACTTAAAGTGCAGCAGCCCAGTGGGAAATTTACGGTGGTGCACAACACCAATGTAGCTCTTCCTCCAAGGCAAAGAGAGTTTGATTTCTCCTCAGAAAAATAATGGTTGAGACAAAGTGACTTTGGGCAAGCAGACAGTCGCTTTACTCATTCACTATTCATTCAAGCTGTTGTTGCAGCTCGCAGTTTGCAACTGTATTTTGATACATTTGCACAGTTTCCTCAAATTCATCAGTAACACTTTATAATATGGATCACAAAAAATGTCACAGATGAGTGAGGAAAGAATTCTGTATAGTATTTCCCAGTCTGTTCTCTAGTAACTCATTATTATCTACTATGTAGTCTTTGATTCTAAGTTATGAGGCTGTTCCTTATTCGGCCTTCACTCAGTGCTCATATGTTTGTGTACTGTATTGACAGCATGCAAAAGGGAAGCTCTTTAAGAGGTGGCATAGACCCTGTCCATCTGTTAGTCATGTTTGTGCACATCTGAAGGCTCCAGGGGATAAAAAGAAAATGGATTTTGAACTGTGTTCTAACAGAACTATAATGCTGTTTTCCAAACATAGCAGGTTTAATTACTTCCTCTGCAAGTTCCTGTATCATGTACAGGTTCTGTAATCACAAATGATCCAATTCCACTTCCGTTTTTAAGTTCTCAGGACTCTGGGGATTGTAACACTTACTCAGTGTTAATGTAGTGTTAAAGCAGCACAATCAACCGGACCCTCTCAACCTGAAACTGAAACTGCCCCCACATCCTCCGCTGGGACACCGATGTTTACCGCCCAGAGTGGCTTAAAATTAATTGGCTTCTTGAGCTGCTGTACATTCCCCACTGTCAGTGCAATGGCCTCCCCTCATTTCCCCGTCACTTTAAGTCGAAGTGTATTAATGGACTGCGTGGGCCATTGAATCCTAATTCGTCTCGACATCAACATCGAGGATAAATATTGCGTGGCACGGTGGTCTTCAGGCTTATTGTAATCAGGATTTTATTGATCACTTGGCCAAACCCCCCAGAAGTAATCTATTTTAAATGCACTTTCAGTAAAAGGGGGTGTCTTAGAACTTGTTTGAGCACATTGTCTTCATATCAGTGAGGAAAGCCTCACAGTAGTGGAAAGAGAGATACAGATTCCTGGACTGGTAGATGAGAGAAAGGAGCACAGACTGACAGATAGAAATATTGAAAGAATCACCAAGCATGCTCAGAAAATATGTCATGCTTTTGTGTATAGATGGTCCCCAGGTGGTCTCTGTCAGCATGTGTGTGTGGACATGTGTGTGTCTGTGTGTCGGTGTCTGGCGAGGCCAGCGGATGATGGATGAGAGCTCAGCCAGCATCGCTATCGATTTATCCTCACATTTATGTGGGATGGTGTGGCTCGCCACAACGATCATTTCAGCACCATGTACCTCGATATGTGCCCACATGCACACACATACAGAATTTATAAGTATTCCAAATGGGCAATGATTATCTCGCTCCAGCAGAGGCGTGAGCCTTGGATGAAATGTTTCATTGTCTGCTGAGTCCGACTGCCTCCCTCCTCACCAAGGTGTTGTTATTGATCCACCTGCAAAGTGACATCCACTTGTTTAACATCCATTCTTATACACTTCAATTGGCCCAGCCTTGCTTGTCTGCTCATCTGACTGTTCTACTCTGATATGAACACAGAAGACAGAGAACAGAATGCATGTGTGTCAGGCCAGCGTGTTTGTGCTTATGAGGACTTGTGGAAATGAGGTCGTGCTTTTGTGTATTCATGAAGCAAAGGTGATGTGTGTTTGTGTGCCTATGAGCTGGTGAGTGTGTTTCTACTTGTAGTATGAGGTGAGTCTTGTGTGTGTACATGTGGCTGCAAATGGGTTTTATGCAACTGTCAAGAGCCTCCGCTCCATCCAGCGCATTGAGCAACAAATTAAGGCTGCAAAGCAAAGTTGCCATTCTCTCTGCTCAAGGCTTTGTTGTTTCTCTCCTTACTTGCTAGCTCACCGAGTGTTCATAATCAACTTGAACAAATTGGAAGGACATCAGTTGTTCTCCCTGCCTAGGCTTTGTGAAAATGGCCCCAATTATCAACGACATGGAGGCAACATATCAGACACACTCTCACTTATGACTAAACATGATTATAGTTGAGTTGGACATATTACAAGAAGTAGATATTAATGTTAAGACACTGTGCCAACACAGCTAGTACCTGTTTTATCATCTAGTCATACCAGCTGCTTCGTACAGCCTTTAAAATATGCCTAATATTTACTACATTCTCTGAATCCATGTTGATGTGATGTCAGAAACCTGCATTGTTTGAGTTCAAAAGTATTGACCTTGTTTGTGGAATTTTCCTGTATGTGTCAGTCATTAAAAGTATGAGTTTCTGATATTTCTGGAATGCTGTAAAAGCTGCCTGGGATTCTTTGTCTGTCAGAGTCATATACAGTCCAGACAATAAGTATTTGGACAGGTTAGTTAAAATAAAGGATACTGCAACAAAGTGCCAGCTCTCAGCTTTAATTTGAGGAGGTTTATGTTTATATGGAAAGAACTGCGTGGGAGCCTTTTTCATACTCAAAGTTTTGGGGTTCAAAGGTAATTGGACAGATACACACCAAGTCAAACAAAATCATCATATTTAATATTTGTGGAAAATTCCTTGCAGTCAATGACTGCCTGAAGTCTTTGACCCATAAACATCAGCAGATGCTTTGTATCTTCCCTGATGATGCTCTCTGAGATCTCATTGCTGCTTCCTTCATCTCTTGCTGGTTGTGGGTTTTCTTTTTGTCTATTTTTGTGAACTGCAAATTGGCCTTTCTGTCTTTGAGGCTTACCAGGGGTTTGCCTCTTGTGCTGAATCCTCTGGTTCTGGTCATGAAGTCATCTCTTGATTGTTGACAAGGAAACATGTTCGTCTACATCCTGGAGAACATTTTTGTATTGCTGTTCAGTCAAAAGGGTTTTTATCTTCACCAGGTGGATTATCTTTTGGTCATGTACAAGACTTGTGCTCTCCAGTCTACCAAGTAGTTTTGCTGTGTGAATTTGCTTTCTTTAGAATATACACAACTGTTCAGTTGGGTAAACTTGGCTCTAACGTTACAATATGTGTTTAAAAGGCTATGTTCCACAGTTCCTTCTATATTGATGTAAACTGAATCTGAATATCTGAGTGGGTGTGTGGTTAATGATGATGACAGTTATGACAGTGTTAGTGCTGACATTTATTGCATCGACTATCTCAGACTGTGACAATCATGCAACTGGAAGTGATTAACAGCTCCACAAGAGGATTCATAAGCATCTCTTGCCTTTTTCTCCCTCTCTCAGGGGATGATGTACCTGGAGGAGAGGAGGCTGGTGCACAGGGACCTGGCAGCCCGGAACGTGCTGGTGAAGTCACCCAATCACATCAAAATCACCGACTTCGGCCTGGCGCGGCTGCTGGACGCAGATGAGAAGGAATACAATGCAGATGGGGGCAAGGTTGGTGTAAGTGGAAGTCTGTACATGTTTTTATGTGTATACAGAGATTTAATGTGCAGAGTATGTCACATAAAAATGACACAGGTAGTAAATAATGAAACCAGAGCAATAAAACAAAAGGTCAGTGGTGGTTACCAGAGAAGTGCAACAGAGAAGCCAAAAATATGTGTTAAGATGAATGTGCATTGCAAAGTAGGTGACTGGTTTAAAATGGTCAAAAAAATACACTTTGAAATAGTAAATAAGGCTTCAGATGATTATTTTCATTGGTAATTGATCTACAGATTCTTTCTTTTTTTAAAATCTATTAAGTATTAAGAACATGTATGAATATCATCATAAAAACAGAGCCAGCCTAGTGTGGATGTAGTGCCGGTCTGAAAGTTTGCTTTGTGAATAATTTAGGTGAACGCACAGTTGTGATGCCAAGAGAAAAACAATGAGTGTGTTATGGAGCAACATCTATAACAGTGAAACTCCTCTGGTCAGGCAAACTCTGGCAAACTTTTGTTTCAGTAAAGCAATTTAGAAGCACTTCATCTAAACAAATAATGCAGCCACGCTTCCCACCACTTTGTTTTATTTGAAGATCCAGACAACATTAATCAGAAGCCCCTTCTCATTTCCTCGCTTGAGACTTAGTATGCAAATGGTCCTGATCAACTCCCTTTATTAAATTGGCCTGTTCATTACTGTATCTATTCAACTGGAGGCCTGAAGGTTGCCACTGCATCTTGAGTCAGAGTTGTTATCTCTCAAAAGTGTTTTCCTGATGCAGCCATCGGAGTGATTGACTTTATGTTGGTATGCACTGATCCCTTGATAAATGAGAGCTGTTTTCAGCACGTCTACATGAATGCCATAAAAATAGACACGCCATGGGAGATAAATCGACGTAGATGAAAGTGTATAGTAGGCATCATACTGCATTTTCAGCCTGAAGCATTTGCCTTTCTCTTCCTGTTCATTTCCCTGAAGAGCAGGCATGTCAGACACCCACACAAAGGGAGGGGTTGTATTTTAAATGACTACACACATATGCTTATGTGTGTTCACAGACAAAAGACCTGATAATTGGCTTGTTCAGTAGAGTTTCCCTTTGTAGTCAATATGGAAATTATATTGCACTTATGATATGGTGATGTGCTACTGTCCTTGTCAAGAATGTCAAAGGGCTTGCTGTTACAGTTACTACTATTATTAGTGCCCTGGCTGATGCAGCCTCATTTAGTATCTTAAATGCGCTCACTATTGACGATCCCTGGCTCGGACTCAAGCCGATCAATCATCGTGCCTGAGTAATATTGAAAAAAGCCGAACTGTGGTTGAAAATGTTGTCAATTTTCCAATATCTCGCAAGTGCTAGACTAAAAGATAGGGCAGCTGTTTAACAAAATGTCATAATGGAAAATTGTCTGCAATTCAGGTGTAAATAAATATGATGAATGAGAAGAGAATATTTTAGGTTTTGTCTTTTTCTATGCTTGTATCCTCATAAAACCCATTTTTATGTATCTATCCATCTCTCCTCAGATGCCCATTAAATGGATGGCTCTGGAATGCATTCACTACAGGAAATTTACTCATCAGAGTGATGTGTGGAGTTATGGTGGGTGCAAAATGTAATATGTGTAGACATCACTGTTTCTTATGCTTATACCTTCGGGGAGAACAAAGTCAATTACCTGAAATTCTGACTCCTGCATTTGCATTTTCACCCCCTTATCTGTCAACGTATCTTGTTCTCTGTTGTCTTCTGCTTCTTTGCCTTACCTTCTTATCTCTTGCTGTCTGTCTGGTGCTCTGTCTTTATTTGGTTTTTCTTTCCAACATCCCCCAGGTGTGACCATCTGGGAGCTGATGACATTCGGAGGCAAACCGTACGATGGCATCCCCACCAGAGAAATCCCAGACATCCTGGAGAAAGGGGAGCGCTTGCCCCAGCCGCCCATTTGCACCATTGATGTCTACATGGTCATGGTCAAATGTGAGAAAACAATTATGCACAAACACACTTTTACATGATCAGACCTATAAAACTCTGACATTCAGTTTCAAATGTATAGTTAAGTACAAATACATATAGTAAGTAGTAGCACCAAAATATAGTAAGAAAAGTAAACATATGATGGTAATAATAATTTTATCTTGTGAATTTCCTTTTAAGGGTCAATAAAGTGCTACCTTAGCCAGCAAAATTAAAGTACAAACTAAAAAATACAAACTCTGGTAGAAAGAAGCTGCTTAAGCAGAGTGGTGCTGAATTTTCATCAGTGACAAAGAAATCATTTAAGAGGTCTACACTCTTGCAGGGTTATCAACTGGGGCTGTATGATATGAGTAAACATTAACAGTGTAGTTCCGTCATAGCATTGATAAATACTGTGCATTTCTGGAAATTAAATTAAAGAACTATTTATAGGTAAAATATATGGATGTCAATGTTTATTTTTGGCTCATGAATTAAGACCGAGATTAAAGGAACAGTTTGGCATTTTGGGGGGAAAATCTGTGTTTGCTTTATTGCCAAGAACTGAGAATGAGGAAATTGATCTTAGCTGAGCTTTTGTCCAAAGGAAATTCGGCACCAGCACTTTCCAAGCTCTCTAGCTAACATGTTATATCACATGTGTTTATTCTGTACAAACACCAAAGTATAAAAACGGTGTTCACACGGGTTATGTGGTGGATAACATTGCCTGTGCCGCAGGCGGCATGAATCAAGTCAACTCTAACACTGTGAGTGCTGCAGAGCGCAGTCTTATTTTATTTTTAAATAATGTTTATACACTGCTGCAACTGTCACACATGAACTGTAGTTTAATAAAAGGGTTCACCTTTTTAATATTCATCTGGTAAGGTGTTATTTGAGCTCTGGGGCTTTGATTCAAGGCTGGAAGAGAAGCTGATATGTAAAGAAGAGAGATGAAAAACAGATGGAGAAAAAGAGAATTGTGTTGTCCTGAAACTGTGATGAGATGCTGGTTTATGGTCTGCAACATGCAGACACCACCACGTCCTTGTTCATGTCATCTTCCATCTGGACTATCACACCTCCCTCCCAGCTGACATGCCCCGACTTTTCCTCCAGCCGTACACCTCATCCAATAACCCCTAATCTCATCATCATCCTAAAATTCTCCCATGTGTCTCCCATCTTGTACTTCTTCCATTGGCTGGATTCAGAACCCTGGTGCTAGATTCACCCTCCCAGCTTTCCAGGAAGTGGTCCAGATATACATGCCAATCCATGCTCTGAGCTCTGCCAGCTAACGGCTGCTTGGCAGTTCTTTTCCCTGCTCAGTCTGGTCATTGCTCCACCTTGTCTGGACCCAGCTATGGTGGAGTGACTTTTCTGTCACTCACCATCTTCTGCTATTGATTTCTCCCTACTGACATTTTTTTTATTTGCCATTGCAGTTCCTAGTGTTTCTTTTTTAATCATCCCTACTTTTTTGTTGCACAAATATTGTATCTGCACCATAAATATTACTGTCTGCTTGTATTGCTGTGACTTTAAACTTTTCTGCCCTTGTATTCATTGTGATTTGCTCTGGGTGAGGACAACAACAGAGGCCTTAAAATGCCAAATGTGTTGAAAGAGAATGATGTGATCCAGCTTGGATCTTGATATCAAAATGTTTTCCCTTAATAAAAATGCTAATCCGACCAAAATGTCACAATATATTTTTTTCAAATGAAAAAGTACTCCCAATGGTTTATGGCATGGCAGCACAGAAGCAAAGTATGAAAGCCCTGCAGTCATTTAGCCTAAGAACAATGCCAACTTAAAAAAAAAAAAGATTGGGCATGATATGTTAGATTTCACATATAGATGTCAGATTTGTTCAGTTTAATGCAGAGCAGCTTAAACTTCCTACAAGTTTAAAATCATTTTTATGTTGTAATGTTACGCTCACGCAAGAATCAAGTGACATCTGGTTGCACAGCGGTAATCAGGAATAGCCAAAGCAGGTCAGTCACAGAGTCAAAGTAGCATCAGGTCTCACTGCCCCATCAAAAGCCAGGAGGAAGCTCAGCAATTGGCTGCATTAATTCTAATTACATGTTGACTAAGGGTCGTTGTTTGTGAGCTGGTGTGCCGTCACACTGTGCACCCCACCACCTCAGTGCCACCCCAATAAAGATGAAATAGTTTGATTGCTGTAGTAATTGCACCTCATTTAGGTAATGTGCCTGCGTGGGGCGCTCAAAGAGGAAATTAGATGAACTGAGCAAAGACAGAGAAACAAGATGACAACAGAGAGAGCCAGGATTTCTTCAAGGGGAGCTGGTTTTAGATTGAAAGTACTGTTGACAGACCACAGACTTTATGACTGCATCAGTGTGGTGAGGTTTCAACTACTGTTTTTTGTCACTGTGCAAACTGCTAAATTTGAAATAAAGTGAAATTAAACTGTTAATCTTACTGGCATAAAACCCTCCCTCTAGGGCTGCCAGAGGCACCCAGATGCTATTAGTGCTGTAGAAGATGTAAAAGGGGTGCTGACACTGAAATCAGCAGCTCAGTTTGCTTACCGTCTAAGCTGAGCTGAGACACCACTTGTTTCACTTCACCTTCAGGGTTATGTCATGTTTACTGCAGTCATGGCCTTGGGAAAGGATCAGGGGCTGGAGACCAGAATGAATAACACTTTTCTTTTCCTTAATCAGCGCTTCTATGTTGAGCAAGGCCCTCAGAATGTACAGAACTCTGTAAAAATGAACCCAGTGCCTCCTCTGAATAAGGTTAAACTCATGAAGGCTTGAATTAATAACATTTTACTGAGTGTGCGTTTTAGTGTACTTTCCACAAAACCTCAATAAGAAATATGTTTAAACAAACCTCAACATTTTCCTCATCTTTTAAAGATGAATGCAGATATTTTCGTTGTCTGTTTATAATCCCAGTTATTTGTTGAATATTATTTTGGTTTGAAATTGAATTCCTAAATTATGTTGCTATTATTACTGCATTCATCCATCCAGCACAGAGATGCATGATGACAAACTGCAAATGCAATTTAAGGTCAAGAGTAGTCCTACTGACAATATGACAAACGAACAAAGCAATCTGCTAAAGATTAAGAAACAGCAATTGTGGACAAACAATATGTTGCATTTCTACTCAGCTGTCTTTGGCTCATAAATTTTCAGTGAATATGCACCTTCTGTTTAGAATTTGCTCTTATCTCAGGCCTTTATCCATTGTCCATCCATCTGTTTATCTTCCTAACCTCTTCTTCATTTTTGATCCCTCTTCTGCTCTTTTTCTATCTGTGTCTTCGCAAGGCTGGATGATTGATGCAGACAGCAGGCCAAAGTTCAAGGAGCTGGCTGCTGAGTTCTGCAGAATGGCCCGTGACCCTCAGCGATACCTGGTCATCCAGGTGGGTTTGGCTCCACAGACTCACTGTCAAAGCCCTTGGAAATAAGGCTTTTCATTGCAACATCTGCAGACTGGAGAAATCAATGTAGCACTATGCAAATTAAAATGTGACACCCACAAACCTTCATCATAACATTTCTGGCAGTGATAACATACTTCAAATGAAATCAGTCAGACAGAATGAAGTTTTGGCTATGGCACTTGTGTACTTTTTAGGGAGATGACCGCATGAAACTTCCAAGCCCCAATGACAGCAAGTTCTTCCAGAGCATTCTGGATGAAGAGGACCTTGATGACTTGATGGACGCTGAGGAGTATCTGGTTCCTCGAGGTTTCAATGTGGCTCCATCATCATATATGACCAGGCCTCGAGTTGACTCCAACAGGGTAAGAGCACACAAAAACTTTCAATATTTAAACACTCAATTATTATTCATTTTATGATCACACACACAGTTGATAAAGTGTCAAAATGTTATTCGAGGTGTTTCTGTTGCTGTAATTAAAAATGTTAATATACAAATGCATCATTTCACCTGTAAAAAAAACCCCATCAGGTATAGTGACTTGAATTTAACCTCAAAACACTATTTTTTCTTCTCTCTGGTCTAAAAATGCCCAGTTCATTATCTTCTGTAAGTGATCAAGGTGGTGTAACTTCCAATACACTGATGATTTTCCTCTGCTAATGGCCATCTTCATCAGTTCCATCTCAACATGTGTCGCTTAAACCTGGATTCTTTATGTACTAGCTCCCCAGACTCCAGGTTTCAGTACTCAGAGTTCCATAAGCAAATAACAGATGCTGCTTTTACAATGCCAGTGTGTCTGCTTATAGACAATGAGCGCTGTTTGCTCTGCAGCATGCATCACTTGCAGCTGGTTCATAGCTCTGCAGCTGATGCACATTTACCCACATGACCTACCCATTTACTGGTGGCTCTTTATTCTCTGACAAATGCACACACACATCACAAAAAACACATCATGATCCATCCAGGGTCCTGCATGCTTAAGATTAACACCCCTATCATGAATTGAAACTCTTTATATTATGCAGTTAAAACCCACCTACATAACCAGACAGGAAAAGGAGTTCCTTCAAATCCATCGGCTGACTGACTTTGCCAGAAGACGTTAGGTATTCAGGTTGTCTTGCCCTAGACATTGTCCGATACAAACAGTTATTTAATCTGGGATGATTTGCTCTCATGCTCATACTTGAAAAGGGGAGTAGATAATGACTGGCTTTGAGGAAGGGATGATCATAGAAGTTTGGAGGTGGGGAAAGTTTATTGCACAATGGCAGTAGGTAGTAAGAGATAACCCCAGGACATTTCCCTTTTATTTCTGCTGTGTTTTGTAGCTCTACTTCCTATAATTGCTGCTGTAGCACTAGCACTTGGCAAGACTGCAGAGGAGTAGGCCTGGGTTAAATAGCCTGCAGCAAGCCAACCTAGCACCACAAGAAGCCCTTTGCTTCATGTCATGTTTTGTATAGTCCTGTGGGTTTTTTTTGTTTTGTTTTGTTTGTTGTTTTTTTTTCAGTTTTTTGTTCTGAGGTTCAGGTGTTTGAATCGTAGCTTTGCCTGGCAGCCCCTCACAGACCCTTAAGGCTGATGACTACACCATCAGAACTTTGTCAGAGAATTTTACCTTCAGCAGACAGCTGCACAGGTTAAAAGTCTTGTCTCGCTCCTTTTGCCACAGGCTGCATAAAACTTGCATAAACTAGCACAAGCTTTATTATTGTTTGGCAGTCACACCATTTGTGTTTGTTGCAGTTTTGCTAAACTATATGTTTGGTTTGTTTAACAACTCTATTCATGTTCTTCTGGTACCAGATAGAAGTGTTATACAAAACGTGCTTCAGAATTCCCAGAGGGGTTTGTTATGTAACATCAGGCTGCATTTTTCTTGTTTCTATCCACAACCCACAATTTGCCTCAGAACCAATTTGGCTATCGAGATGGTGGTCCAAACTCTGCTGAGGCCTCCGTGGTGGGTGCCCAAGCCTGTGTGAACCCAGAGGCAGCAGGCGGCCTGGTTCCAGTCCAGGAGGACCAACGATGTAATGGGAACCTCCATAAAAAGAGCCTGAGTCAAACTGGTGGAGAGGACAGTGGGGGGCAGAGGTACAGTGCTGACCCCACCATCTTCCTAGGGGAGAGGATGCCCAGAGGGGATACTGATGAGGAGGGATACATGACCCCCATGAAGGACAAGAGCTCGTCAGGTACTTCAACTCAAAACACAGTGAAGTACTTTGAAAATAATATTTTAGCCACTGGAATCACTTAGTAGTGACCCTGAGAATCAAGCCAGGTTAATTTTACACAGCACTTGTAACAAGCACAATTGTTGGGAACTGATTTACAGAAGCTAAAATGTATTTAGGAAGAGATTCTACAGCCCTACAGGGCACAATGTGTTGAAGATGTATGAGTGCAATTTATGAGTTGTATTTAATCCACAGCCTGTTGTACACAATATTAAACTTCAAAATAACCTCACCTTATTATATTAATTTCTCACAAATCACAGAAACACAAGGAACACAGCACCTTGGAAATAAAAGTTGTAGATTAGTCATCATAATCATGTCCTACAATGAGAGCAGCTCAGTTTAAATGTTAATAGGTGCATCTTGTATGTGCTACAAATTCTAGCCTTATCTCCATTCTGTCATCTCTTTGCTCACTCACAGAGTAAACATGATCTTTTGTAGTGCATTTCTTCTGTCATTTTGCTGCTTCATTTCATCCCATTGATTGAAATTCCTACCGAGTTTCTGTCAATGGCAGTGTCAGCTACCACTATAGAGTCATGTTTTGCCTTTGATCATAATTTAGTCCATCACCCCTGCTCTTGCACTAGAGTCTTTGATTTTTCAACAACACAAAATATAACAAAGCCCACAGCAAAATGCATCTGATGCAATGTCAGCCGAATGGAAGAGTGGGCAAAATCAATAGGTTTCGCACCCCACTATTATAGCACTTGGAAGGAGAGAGTGGGGTCATTTGCTGGCATTTTTACCTCCATCAGATGGAGTTTCCAGTGCCAAAGAACTGCTGGCAAGTTGCCTATCTGGTCCTGAGTGGCTGCCCTTATAACCATTACCATCTCCATCTCACCTCCTTATTAAAGAGTGATCTCTTTGTCCCACTTCCTTCAACTTCCATTTTTATTGTTTTCTCTTGATTTAATTTCTGTGGATCTTTTGTTTCTCTTATCCTCTCAAAAACTGTTTTTCTCTTGTCCTCTACATTCCTTTTCCCTTCTCTGGTCTGTGCTACAGAATACCTGAATCCCATTGAGGAGAATCCATTTGTCTCGCACCGTAAAAATGGTGAGATCCATGCCTTGGACAACCCAGGCTACCACAGCACACCCAACAGCCAGCCCAAAGGGGAGGATGAGTATATTAACGAACCACTGTACCTCAACACCTTCCACAGCCCCTCTGAGTTGGGTCTGGAAGTCCTGAGGAGAAATGGTCTGCCCCTTCCCACCCACCCTCCTTCTTCAATCTCAACCATGACCTCAGGCTCCCACCTCCCACTTGCTATCCAAACCAGCCTGCCCCACTACCCCCTACCCACGGCACAGCCCTCTCCATCTGGCATGCCTTGCCACCACGGCCCACCCCCCCACATCCTTCATACCCACCACACCGTCAAACCTGCAGGACAACCTGGTAATCCAGGTGGCAGCTCTGCCACTCAGAGCCAAACAGGAACTAGTGCCCAAGCCCAGGTGTGCCAGTCAGGTGCCCTGTCCACCTCAGCCACCATTGGGCATGGTAACCTGCCAGCCTACCAGAGCCACACCACCACACACCCTGCCAGCATGCTGAAGCACGGAGGACCAACATCAAGTAAAGCCTGTGGGAAGAAGCTGAAGGTAACCTTTGACAATCCAGAATACTGGCAGCACAGCTTGCCCCCCAAATCATCTAACCAGGCAGCCCTCGATGGTGCCCAGGGAGGTTCCACCAACGCCAAGCTCTTCTATAAGCAGAATGGACACATACGGCTGGCGGTAGCTGAAAACCCTGAATACATGTCTGAGTTTTCCCTAAAACCTGGCACTGTCCTCCCACCTCCACCCTACCGGCAGCGGAACACTGTGGTCTAGCTCGTCCCACTTGACAAATGTTCCTCAGTCTGACTGTAACCCAACATCCTCTCTGGTTCCACTATCCCAAACACAGGGGAGCAGCCAGAACTAGAGCTGCCCCAACTCTTTCCAAACAATGTGCCATCTGCTATAGACTGTAGCCACATCAGAAGGAGGTGGACTGAACCAAGGAGACCCAACTCAGACTAACACCTTCATGATACTGCACCCAGTCCATTTTTGTTCTGTAGATAGACACTGTGCTCCAGGTAACCAAGAATGTGAAGGTCATGGTAGTTTTGTGCAGATAAGATGGACTTGAACTCACTGCCAGCCTCTGCAGTATCATATTCATGAGGAACAAGATGTTTTATTTGGATGTTTTTATGGATCTGAAGATGAACAATATTCTGCCAGGGTTTTTGAAAGAAGCAAACAGACAGAAAATTCCAACCTGTTTGATGTCAGAATGTCTCATTTTTGCCACTGACCTTGTAGAGTGAGGCAAGACAGCAGGATATCAAGGAAAGAAGACGGGAGGGTTTAATCAGAAGAGGGACTTCCAGTAAGATGAAGGATGGAGCAGTGAGAGCTGATCAACCATATTCAATCTTTTTGCCTAGAAGATTATACTGTACGTTCTCAGTTTTCCATCAGATACATGAACCTCATCTCATCATTTTACTTTAACTGTGATACTGTGATGGTCAAAACTACAGTGATTTCTGCTTTGTAGTTCAACCATGGACTCTTAATTTGCCTGAAAACACACAGGGCAACTGCTGTTTTGTTGTTTTTGACTGACTGCTGTCTACTTGGAAAAAACTAATCAAAAAAGGCATTTTCCAAGGGTATAAAGGGAAAACGCTGTAAACAGTTTTATAAACACTGGTTGCAGTGCTCAAAAGATAGATTTTTATACACCGATTTTCCCTTTCAGTTCATAAAGATAGCTTAGAGCAAAGAGTTTCTTGCCATTAAAGTGGGAGGGTAGTTAATAAAATTGCTGTATCTGCTGAATAGTGTGACCAGACCATCCATGAAGCAGCTGAACTTAAAATGGTGATCACAGACATAGAGAGAGAGGGAGAGAGCAAAAGAGAGGAAACATCGTCAGAGAGGGGAAGGAAAGTTCATACAAGCTGCCTAATGAAGACCTCAAGGACTGAACAAAACAGAACTAGCAGAGCACAGTAAAAACAGACGGCTTTTGTGAGTGTGTGTGTGTGTCTGTGTTTATGTGGGCATGATTGGGATGAGTGTGTGTTCACGTACTGTAGCGAGCCAGTTTGGCCCCATAGGGATGTCTGTGGAAAAAGAGATGTCGTAGAATGGAGTCGACAGCTAAAAACCTTCAGTACTGCTGCTAACCAGCAGTAGACTCAACAGCTGATTTGACCTCATACATGGCTTACACCATGAAAACACTCATTTTTAATATCACTGGCTTGAATCAAACGCGCACTGAGAGACACAGCTTCTGGCAGCTTGTCATAAGGTTAGGTCATGTTCAGTTGTCTTGTTCTCTGTAGGGTTGGTAAAAGTTAACAACTGAAGGATTTATTAAGGATCTGTTGGTGGTGTTGTGATTTTTAAACTGGTCCAAAATTAATTTTCAGTCTGAAAAAAACAGTTTGTTTTTGTCGTGGTTCATTTATGTGTGGCGTGACCATTTTGACTGATGGACTTAGTTCCTTGTATTATAACCATCCCCAAGTTTGTGCAGAAATCACCCCCTCTGAACCCACTCCTTCCTATGGCAGCAGATTTGGACAGAAGAGCAAAACCTTGCCTTTCCTGAACCTTTAGCAAGTTTTCTTTAGCCATTATCAGTGGAACATTAACATTGCTTTATTATTGTTTCAACAGCTTTTCGTCATTTTTCTCTGGCAAAACCCTGCCCAGGCTGTTTTCTTGTGTAGATTATTTATTGTGTGTGTGTGTGTGTGTGTGTGTGTGTTTCTCTGAATGTATGCACATGCATACATTCTGTATATGTTTGTTTCCCCATGGAGCACTTTAATCAAACTTGCAGGTACAAAGAAATGACATCTGCTTTTACTTACTGGAATATTCAAATTGTTTATCTGGTTGTTTACCACTTCAGAAAACAGAAGCTTTAGCAGAAATCAAAGGAAGCTATTTTGACCAGGAGCTCACAAACAAAATATATTTTAGTTGGTGTTGACCAGCTTCAAGAATGTTTCCATGTCTTTTGTTTGGTCCGAACAATATTTATCATGGTCCTTTGGTGATACCATGATTATTTGATGGAGAAGTGTTTTGTAGTCCCTTTTGGAGAGCTAATTCAATGATAAGGAGATTTAATACCAATGTGAAATATTTATAGCTCATTTGAGTTTGTTTATACTGAGCAATGGAACCAACTGCCAAATCTGGGTTTCAAGAACAAGAAATAGAAAGGACGATGTGTAAAAGGAAAAATATGCACCTTGGTTTTTCTCTCATTTTCTGTAAATTATACTGCAGAACAGGCAAAATATGTGCTTTAATCAAGAATAGATTGAAGCCGTGATCAGACGAATGGCATCAGCCTCATGCCCAACAAAACCTTCGCTTTTACTCTAATTAGATCTGCTCACAAGGCCCCGAACAGAAAGGCTGAAAAACATATGTGCTCATAAAAATCCAAGTTTGTCAGCTTTTGTTTTTGCCATCCAAAGGCCTTGGTTCTAAAAGACTCACATGTTTTTATTAGTGGAAGCAATCATTTACCCTCTCTACTGTTTAATATCTCTTTTCTTGCTTCAAATGTATTTTGCCTCAGTGTTGAGCTGTGCTACCTGCTGCTATTTGTCTCAGCCATAAACACTCTTGTGGCTCATGGCAGCTCAAGAGCACGCCATGGCAGCTGGGGTTAAAGACTGTTTCCTTCAAGCCAAGGTGCAGAGGCATGTAGCCATGTTGTACTGAAGTGAATCATTCAAAATTTCATCCCTGGCTCCTCATAGGCTGTGATAGTTTAATGTATGTGCAATATCACCTTGCATGGTGCCCAAAGTGAGTGTTTTATTGCCCTCCACCTTTGTATCTCTTCACAGATGATGATAACATATTTGAATTTCTGTCCAGGGAGTGGACAGCATGGAAGGAAGCAACCAGATATTTTTACGGAATTCAGTAGCACAAACTGGGAATCCTTATGTGTGAAATCTTTCATGTGTATAGTGCCCTATATGGTCCTTTTTAATACTGAGTTTTGATTTTATTTTTCCCATATTATCAAGGATGTTTATCTTTAAGAAAAAGACTTGATTGTGTTTTTCCTATATTGTTTTAATTACTGTACAATATTTGTCACTGTAGCTGCAATTTGTAATTATTAGCATCTTAATTGCACAATCATCACTTTTAAGTGGACATGGTTCATTTTCTGTGTTTAAATTATCAAATCATAATAACTGTACAGAATCTCTGGGGTTTCCTCCAAAATTTATCTAACACACTTCAACAACAAATGTGAATAGTATTTTTATAAAGCACTGAAATGGCCGGTGTGGTGAATTTGTAAATAAGGAGGCAACACTGAATTTATATGGTCTTCTCTCCTGCTGCTGTTTTCTCCTGCCTATAACAACCTGTACAAAAAGAGCCGTACATATTTGCTTTATGTAAGTGTACCTTTTGACTAATGGGAATTTGATTTTAAAAGTGCTTGTTAACCTTTTCTCATGTGGATCTCTGTTCAGTGGCCCTTTTCTCCAGAGCTTTGTGGTTGTACTCATTTAATGTTTCAGTTTTAGTGAAAACTGGAAAAAGGGTGATGGTGGACATGGGGTGTGTGGGGGCTGTTCACTTCACCTCTCTTTTCTTTTCCCCATTTCTGGCAAATGAGCATCCCAATACCTTCTTTTCCTCTGTCTTCTTTCCTGTTTGTAATTCTAAAAAAAGAAAAAAAAACTGAATCTAGTTCTGCCAGCTAGCCCAGACAAACTGTGCTGGGGAGTCAGTTTTACCTTCTCTGCTTAATTTCTACTGAAAATATTACTGAGCCAAGTCTGACCTCCTCCTTCCTGGAAACAGAGCACAGCCGTCCCAACCTGTTTTCACTTCATTTCCAATTTGTTTAGCATGTTCCTAGAGGAGATATAGTAGAGAGAAGGCATCATCAGTAACTCCTCCTCCCCCACATTAGCTTGCCATACTTTCTCCATGCCCCTTTTATCCAAGACGATCTCTCTGAGTTCTTTGAAACCACACCCAAAGCTTTATATCATAAAAATGCCAATCCTCATGTTTGTTACATGAATCTGTCAGAAGTATATTTTTAATTTAATATAAATAAAGATTGATTCAGTATATGTTGTGGTGGTTTGGTGAGGATTTTGTGCATGTGTCGTGTGCCTTACAGCTTAAAAAGTAAAATCAATCACTGAAGCTGTGTTTGCAAAAAACACTGCAAGAGAAAAGTTGTGCATGTTCTTTAAGAGTAAACATAAATCTTAAAGAGAAAGTCAGCCACATCAGGGACTGCTATGTAACTATAACCCTAGCAGGGAGTCTGTGTTTTGCTCAGATAGACCTCAGCAGGGAGGTTCTCAAGTCCTGAACCCAGACCCCATGTCTGCCTCCTCGACCCGCCACCCTGCTGCCTGTAAATAGAGCAGAAAATGAAAGCCCTGTTTATTTGCTCTAATGTTCATGCTAACAGCTTTAATAATAAAATTTAACAGATGGTGTCTTCAATTATGCTGCTCTCAAGTTACAGCCTGCTTATTTTGATCTGACTTTTTAACATCAACATTAGAGCCTGCGCTGGAGGCATGGTTCTGCACTGTACCACATGTTCATGCTCAAAAGGACTGGCAGATGAAGACCAGCTGCATCAAGCGGTCCGCAGTGTTCCCCTATCCTCCTCCAAAAGCTCACCTCAAACAGGCTAATGTGTGGATATAACATTTTGCTCTCGTTTTTCTCCCTTGCCCTGTGCTTAATTCACTGTTTACCCAAGTGTTGGTTATGTAAACTAGCCAAGGCAACATCATTTGCTATACAGCACTCTGCCATAGCTGCTGCACTCCCAGGCTTCTATTGCAATCATAAATAATACAAAACTGTCCAATGGCAGAATTTGAGCTTTCTGAAGTCACTGCTATTAATACTAATAAGGTGATGGGGTGCTTTAAGTAAACACTGTTTATGAACAGAAATCCCCCTCCTTTTTCTTCCTCTTCTTTCCCTCATTTCTCTTTTAGTTTCCTCAGAGCACTGAGACTCACCTGGTAAGCACATGTAGTTCCCCCATATTCCTTTAAAGGGGGGCTTCTGCTGCAGAGTAACAGTATTTGAACTATTTCCAGTTATTTTCACACATAGAGTAGCTACTTATTCGAAATCTATATTAGATCAGCGTCATAAATTATGCTTCCCATTTGCTAGGGAAAAGGACATTTAACAGATACTCACATAATAGGCAGATTATCCTGAGCATTGAGATCACTTCTTAACAGCACCTAGTATGTTATCAGCCAAACCAGAGAGGTAGAGGTCACCTTTAATCTGGCCATTAACCATTTGTCAACAAGTCTCTTTTAAAACAGATCTTAAAGTGAAGCCAGGAGACGAGATTCAGCTCCATCCCGGAGGCCTGGAGCAATTACACTTACAGCTGCCCTGTACACCAGTGACGTAGCTGTGCACTGACAGCTCATCACCGACAGGCTGGTGGTGTTTAATTGCAGTGTGTCACCTTGACAGGATTTTTTACACACCCACACACCTGCACCAAAGAAAAACAAGGTAACTGAAATGGCTCCAGAAGCTTGGTGGGGTTTTTTTGTTTGTTTTTTTTTTGTTTTGTTTTAATAATGATGAGCCAACAGCAGGGTTTGACCAGTGTGTTGTTTAGTATTTTCTGTAGTGGAGTTATCTTGTCTGCAAGTATTCTCATCAAAATACAAAAGCCCTTGCAACAGAATTGAGACTAATCTATAATCCTCTTTTTGTAGTTGTATGTGTCTTGGTCACGATCACTCCATGACAAGAGAACTACCTTTATGGGACAAAAATAACTGTAGTTGTGAGCCAATATTTCTGAGTGAGAATATTCTCACTGCATAATTTGAGTCACTAAACAACAAACATATCATTTTGGTTGGTTGGTTGGTTGGTTTTTTAAAATTTATGTCATCAGTAACACCACATGAAGTGCTGCTGGCCTGATACTATATTAGTTGGTTAGCTAAACCTACTAACAATTGCTACTTCTGTTCTGAAGCATGGTTGAACACACTGTTTAATCAATTCCTTACACTTTTGTTGTGTGTTTGGTTTGGGAGAGGAATAAGTTTAAAAAAAAAAGAAACCACCATCTAAACTCTTTTTATATAGAGACAGTATTGCTCATACAACATCACACACAAAGCTTAAACATTTGGAGAAGTCCAAAGCTGGACAGATGTGCCATGCCTACTTTTGTTTGTGAAGCAATCATTCGACAGTTGCAGCCTCAGCCGTCAATTAGCATTTATTCACTTTTAAGTTGACATATCACTATTATAGGTTTTTTGTAGCATCATATCATAATAATCTTTCTAAACATCAGAATTTTGGATCTAGGTTGTAACAAAATGATGGGGTTTGCAAGAGCTC